TTCCTGGAAACCACTTCTCACTTCCCCCTTTCCTTCCTCACAGGCAGAGTCCAGGGCTTCTGCTACAACAAACACCTGCTTCCCCCTTCCCCCCAGCTCTCCCCAGAATGCAGCAGAGGTGAGGGAGGCCAGGACTTGTTACATGTGTGTCATAATCCTCTTAGCAGCCCAGTGAGGCAGGTGCGGTCTCCATTTTACAGATAGGGAAGCTGAGGCTCTGAAAGACTGAGTATTTCGGCCCCTATTCACCGAGGAACCAGTAAATTGGATCAGGGCTCAAATACAGAACTGCGGCGTGCCTACTTGTGCTCACACTGCTGCTTGTGTAACTCCAGACAAGAATAATCCTCCTGTGGTGAGGGCTTTTATTTTCCCACTACTTGATGACATTAGGTTTTCATGGAATCTAAGCTCAAAACAAAACATCTCGGATGACCAAATAGTACAACCATTTCCTATTTCTTTACAAGATAAGAGATGAGAAAGAAGAGAAAGGTCCTTTTCACATTTCTGAATTAAGTGGATTAGGAAATGAACTAGTTTTGTCATAAAGGTCTGGCTTTAAGCTGATCAGAGCCATCGGTGTCCGTCCTTTTCCTTCACATACATGAAATTTCTTAATTGTTCTAGAAGTTGGTTGTTGTAATAGACTCCAGATGCAATATAAATTTATAAAAGCTTAGATTACAAAAATCCTGCATAGCAGTATTATTTTAAGACAGGAATATAATTTCAGCGATAAGCGTCTGAAACTCTGGGGTTATGTTCTGGAGCCTGTAAAAAAAAAAGGTATTCACAGAGTTAGATCCCTACTACCCACACCTTGAAAATCCTGGCAACATAGTTTTTTTTTATTTCCCTGCAACAAAAAAGAAAGGAGAGAGAGAGAGACTTTCAAACACATGTAACTGTCAAATGCACCTCTGCGTGTCTGGGCTAAGACTCTGTTTTGATATGCACCAATCTGATTATTTAAAAATACCAGAAATGGGCCTCCCCGGTGGCGCAGCGGTTGAGCGCTGGGTTGCGAAGCTGCCCGCGGCCTCTGCGGTGCCGGTTCGATCCCCGGCTGCTCCACGGCCACCGGAGGAGGGTCCCACATGGCACGCAGACCTCTCCTGCCGCCCGCTGCTCCCCTCAGCAGTGTACTTCGGTCCTGCCTGCTCTGCTCCCCGCTCTGGCTCTGGTGAATTCTCTCACCCTCCCACGCTTCTGACTGTACCCAGTGCATGTATAAACAAAACAAACAAACAAATAAATAAATAAAACATGCCTCTATTAAAAAAAATAAATAAAAATTTATAAATAAATAAATAAATAAATAAAAATACCAGAAATGAATGAAGATAACATTCAGGGGCTGTGAGGCTAGGCCGCTTTATACTATTGCACCATAATTTGTGTCCATGACAACCAAACAGTAATCTTTATATTACCAATTGTGCCCAGCCCTGCTCCAAACCCCAAGTCCCCTGCAGAAGGTCTGGTGGAACACAGACAGCGCTTCAGTTGTAAACAACTTAAACACATCCCAACCTCACTCTCTTCTTTATTAAACAGGAAACTAATGTAATTTTATATAATTTAATGTCCAAAAGTTCATTTTTTTCTCTATTAATTATAGAATTGTCAAATAACTATAAGTATCTCATTTATGTCCGAAAGCAAGCAGTGCAAGCAGCCTGGGTTATTAGTAATTTCCAATTAACTTGAAGGCAGCTAATCTTTTGGCTGTGTGACATCAATAAGAGGCCTATTTTAGTTGTAGGGTCTAAATTAAAATGTTAACAGAAGCACACAATAATCTGTATTCTCTTTTTGGTCACTGTTAAATCCCTCATGCCATTCAGGAAGTGTCTCTGGAGTCTATGTCGCAGTCTATGTCAGGGTGTCTGTCCACTGTCTAAGACAAGACACTTCTGAGTAAACAGAAGCTTCTTGATCTGTTTTCATCCAGGCCATCCACTTACATGAATAGCTGTTTCAGAGGAACAACATTTATAGTAAACAATGAATGGAACAGAAATCTGAACACACACTGTCCAGAGAGTGACCAAGGGAAGAACCCCTCTGCCTCGACAGTGGGAGGTTATCATCCTCAGGATCAGGTGTTCCTGAAAGAGGGTGTGGCCCAGGCACCTGGAAGTGGAAGGTATGTTTTATGCCATTTTTGTTCCCTTGCAAAAGGACCCTAAAATCCTGGAGAAGTTACCGAGTTTACTCCTGAGAAGAGGAGAAACAACTCAAGCATTTAAAGGTCTTCTGGGATGAAAAGTCACTAGATGCAGATAATGGTTCCAAACATGAAACTCAATTCAAAATTAGCCTAGAACTAGCGCTCGTTGCTCAGACCCCTTCAGTCTTGGAAGATTTCTGGGTTCATCAATCTCCTAGCTGGCTTCAGTTCCCTATAAGATATAACTAAATTTTGGGGCCTTCCTGGTGGCACAGGGGTTAAAGTCTCAGCACCATCAAGCAATCCGCTAGCCATGGCAGCACAAGTTTGATCCCCGGCCAGGGAGCTACCCACATGGCACAGCAGACCTTTCCTGTAGTGTATTTCAGTAGATGTCCCTATTCTGCTCCCCGCTCTGTCTCTGGTGAATCCTCACACCTCCCGCACCTCTGGCCTACACTCCAGTTCTTGTATGCCTAAATAAAAATAATCTTTAAAATTAAAATAAAGATATAACTAAACTTAGTCACAAATGCTTGGAGAAGAGGCTAAGTAAAAATAATCACAGTATAAGAAACTTGTTTAATGACATATCATCAAGCCACTCAATTCCAAATCCCAAAGGCAGACTTGGTATTTTCATCTTGAAATTAAGGAAAGAAATGGCTTTATAAATAGTTTGTGTGTGCGTGAAACGAAATCTCATGAACAAATAGAGCCTTTATTCTTACACCAGCACTGAAAATGAACATCTGTAGTTTAGCCACTGATACTAAGTTGAAATAACTAAGGAAACACAAGCCAGAAGTTCTTGAGCTTCCAAACCCTGGTGGAGGAATTGGTCTGAATGCACCTAAGGCTAAAAGCCAGATCGCACTGCTCTCTTGTGAGATAAAATCCTAATCAAAGACTCAACACAGAACCACTTCCAAGAAATTGCTTAGATTTAAAATCCACTGTCAATTTTATTTTATTACCAGCAAACATCTCTGCCTTTTTTTTCTGAACATAACGAATTCCTGTATTTACACTCAAGGCTGCAGAATATTTCTGTGATTATGAGAGTGTGGTAAAAAAAAGTTCCCAACAGTTTCCCAAACATTTTTTTTAAAGTTGCAATATGGTGTATACTAACCCTCAGGCACTAGGACAGACTTTCCAAGTTGATAAATAAATTGCCTCCTTTAAATTGTCCCTTTAAACCACACAAGGCATGTACAAAATAAGCCTCTAAACACCACATATTAATATGCTATATTAAATCTGACAGTAAGAACGCCAATTAGTTTACCTCATTAGTTTCTTAACCTTCTATTATCTCTTAATGCTTTAAAAAGTTGGTACCCTAAGCAAATGCAATAATAATAATATCATGAGGCAATCATTTGAACCATTAAATAAATATTTCATCAATCCAAAGACTTGAAATCCATTTACAAATAGGAAAGTTGAAGACTAAAAGTCAAACAGCTATTATTAGATAATTCTTTAACTATACAGCATGTGAATAAAATTTAAAATATATTTAAAAAAACTCAATAAACAGTAAACTGAAAATACACTTAGCCACTTTTAAAAACTTACTATAGTTTTGGATAAAATCATCTATTCTATAAACCACTCAGATACTTCCCTAGTCAATGACAGATTTATTTTCAACTCATTACGTTATATTCTTTAGAAACTGGGTTAAAATGATACCTTTCTTAACTAGAAAATAATATTAACTAGACGCCAACAATCTGGGAGGTGAGTACTCCTTTCTTCTAGTGTTACCTTCTGGGTTATTGTTCATTTACACAGAAATTTCTACAAATGTCATATCATATACACTATATAAAGTCATACTGTGTATCACTGTGAATGATTCCTTAGCAAAAACAAAATCTACAAAAAGGCTGGCAGCTTAAAAATTACAGGAAACCAATTTTTACTCTTGTACAACATGCTTCATCTTCCTGAGTTGCCAAACCTCAAAAACAGAGCTGGGGTGGGCGATGCCAGGCAGAGGTGGTGACAGAAAGGTAAGGGGTTGGGTGCCAAATTCCTGTGTGTGATATGAGGGTCCCGCTCAAAAACCTTCCTCTCTGGCCTAGATAGGAAATTCAGTAACTCCTTTAGGTCAAAGGAGAAGATTATTTCTGCAGGGGGCATAGTACTCTCCAGTGGTTTGTATACACACTACAGAAACCCAAGTAATTAGTTAACCTACGTGAAATGGCATTTATTATCAGGATGCAGGCAAATGCCACAGAGTATAACATGTAAGAACAGGTAGCTCCATGGAAATTAGAAGGCCGTCGCGCATTCACGTGTTAGTCCTCCTTTTGCTGTCCCACTCCATAACATCTTTTATCTCTGCTGCTGGAAAGAAATCATTCCATTCCCTTCTCTGAAAACTGGCTCCCTCAGCAAGACTTTTAGGTTTCTTTCCCCCATAGCTTTGTTTTGTACTGTTGGAGCTGACCCTGGATCCCTGTCCACAGACGCCCTAGCCATCTCTAGCGGATGCCCCACACCATGGTAAAATCCTAGGGCCAAAAATATAATACATGGAGCTTGGATAACAAGGTGCCAACTAGCTGAGTCCACAGAACAGGGCGGTCCCTTCCAGACCACAGGTAGGGACAGAGAGCCGACGCCAGGGTGTAGCCGAAGATGCCACAAGTTCCCTCTGAACTGGAATGTCATGCAGGGAAAACCTTGGCCACTGGCACAAATAGGAACCCTGGGAGAAAGGCGCAGGCAGGAACATTTGGGGTTCTGCTCCCCACCATTAGACTCTACAGCCTCTCAAGGCAGTGACGGCAACTCAAGAACTCACCTGTCCTTGTCAGGGTGACCTTGCAGGCCCTTCCGGAGCCCTGGCAGCCGGCAGCGTTCATTGTGTGCCGGATCCAGTACCGGTGAGGACAGCCTTTCAGGAGCAGGCAGGCCCAGGCAAGACACTAGAAATGGTTCTGTGAGGACAACTAATACAGAGACAGGGATGAGGCAGCTTCCCTTGGAAGTTAAAGTAAAAAATAAAAGGACTTTTTGGCTTATGAGGGTGACGACCTCAGCAGGAATATGGCTGACACACAAAGACCCACAATGAGCGGGAGGGGACTGCCCAGCAAACTCAAACTTCTGAAATAAGGAAAACCCTTGAAGCCAAGCTAGGGTTGTTTTTTGGGCAACTGTATAATACTTCCTCACACAGGACAAAGGCCGTCTTAATAATTATTTCCTTCTTTCCACTTTAATCTTGTCGTTGGCATCAATACTTGCTTCCCCACAGCACACACCTACACACACTCCTTGTACAGGGCCGACTTTGAAAATAAGTTCAAAAGGTAAATCTCCACAGGTCTGTTCTTTTCTACTTTCCAGGTCGAATTAGTTCTATTTTAATATTCAACATGTGTCAGCCTCGTCACATTTGCCTTGTGCCACAAACCAGGTTGTTCCTTCCCCGAGGGCGGAGACCGTCTCAGTCCTCAAGACCCAACACAACACAAGGCACCACCAAAGTCTCACTAAGCAGTTCCATGAGTCACAGACACTAAAGATAAACAAATTCAAGACAGCTTAAGGAATTTTGTGAATAATAGTTTCATAAAGGAAGGAACGAAGATCAAAGCTGCCTCCTTTTCCAGGGAGGGCAGGAGGTGTGGCTTCCCGTGATGGGGCTGTGGTGTAGGGAGAAGGCAACACACGAGGCTGGCAGCCACTGTCCTGCTTGGTACGCACCGGGAACACTTGCACAAGAAAGTCTATTCTGTCTATCTGAAGTCAGACCCACATCACGTCCAGCCCAGATCCACCTCTCTGACTTCTCTGAGTATTGTTTGGCCCCAAACCTTCCACCACGAACAAGCCAGAGGAAGATTTTTGTATCCAGGACCAAGTCGGTTCCTAAACTATTACCTCTCAGCTCTGATCCCACCCTTCTAATCCTGCCGTGTGGTCTGGAATTCTGCAATCATTTCTCCTGTTAGGCTGCTGTTAGGCTTCGCTGACAGGGGTGCCAGAGGGAGGTAGAAAGGCTGGCAGATTAGTTCTTTGCTGGCTGTCAAAGTCCAGGCACGTCACCTGGGCAGCTGGAGAGGTTCTAATCTCTAGCATGCATCCAAGCCGGCCCCCACCTGCCCAAACAGCCTCTATCTTCTGAAGATACAACCGCAGTCAGCCATGGTCCCCCCACCATGTCACCCACAGGGATCTGAACCCCAACCTACAGACTCTTCCTGTGAGCTTCTGAATTCTAATGATTCTAAGTTTTTCCTCTTACCACCCCCACTTTCCCCCCACAGGGGTAGCAGCTCTCTTTGCAATCACTCTGTGTTTTCAATGTTCCATTTACTTTTCAATGCTCCAATACATCTTGTTCATTAAGACCCACTTCCCAGTATTGTTATGTGAATCCACAAACTTCTGCTTTTGCTAATTCTTCCAATGACCCACAATTCTTTCCATGGCCCTCTGACTGCCAACAAAGGGGTCTGAGAATGACTTTGTAGTAATATGTCTCTGCCAACGTAAAAAGTCCAAACCTCCTATCCATTAATCTGACAGTGGATAAAGCACTCGATGAAGGCAATGGGGATAGTTCCAGCTGGCAGAAAAATGGGCAAGAAACCATGACTCTATTAGTAATCACATAAACAAAGAACATATAATTTTAATAAACCATCATAATTCAATGTGAAAGTTACTGAACATCTATGTTAAAAAGCATGGCTTGGTAATAATGGGTATAAAAGAGAAATTTAAGAACTGGTCCTTACTGATTCAAGCTTAGCAGACAAATCTGACAAACAGGAATCAACAGTATAGATAACAGTACAATACAAAAATAAATCTCATGTTTGGGTAAGAAAACCAAAACTATACCAGATACCAAGGCCATGTTGATCTTCAGAGAAATCAGATGGAAATAAAAGTTGAGTTCCAGTGAATTTGACCCTTGTCTTTACAATGCTATCATTAAAAAACTTGCATGCTATTTGTTAAATAAATTTTATTTATTTTTATTTTTTAAAGATATATTTATTCATGCATACAAGAACCGGGGTATAGGCAAGATGTGCAGGAGGGTGAGAGGATTCACCTGAGACAGAGCGGGGAACAGAACAGGCAGACTAACTGAAATACACTGCTGAGGGGAGCAGTGGGCACGACAGGAGAGGTCTGCCATGCCATGTGGGTATCTCTGCAGCCGGTCGGGATCAAACCTGCACTGCAGAGGCTGTGGACAGCTTCACAGTGCTGTGCTCAACCTGCTGAGCCACCAGGGAGGCCCATATATGCTATTGTTTGGTAGCAAAGTCTACTATTCCTCTCACTATCCTTTCTTCCCTTCTCTTCCGTTAAATAACCGCCTCCTAACTTCCCAGTTTTAGCTGTACACACAGTACATCCCCAACGTCTTCAGAGTGACCACATTCATGAATGTGTCTGAGAGAAGGATGTGCAGGTGAAGAAGGAAACTCCCCTTTCTGTTTCTTCCTTCCTAGAGCTGGAATTTGGACCAGGTGATGAAATCTCAGACCACAATGATGGAAGCAGCTCTAGGGGAATGACAGAATCACAACGGAAGAGGGCCTGGATCCCTCACGGTGTCATCATGAAGTTGCTGGGTTTTTATGTTAGATGAAAAAAATCCAATTTCTTGGATATCTATTACAGTAGCCAAATCGATATTGTGATTAATATAAACCCCAAATACATCCAGTAACCAACCCGTTGCACTCACGGAGAGCCAGCAGTCTCTGTGCCTTTGGCCTGCCTCTCCGGGTGCCCAGGAGTTGGCACCATGGTGGTGGTGGCCTTCTGCTGGCCAGCGGGCGCCACGCAGAGACCGCAGAGGAATTTATGCATGGAGCACGGAGTGGTTCAGGACAAGTGATGCTCATTTTGTCAGGAGTCCCTTGAAGCCAAGGAGGAATATCCATGATAACTACAGGGAGTTTCCAAAAGAAAAGGTGGTGTTTTCGGGTCAAACTTCACTAGAGGGCCTCCCTGGTGGTGCAGCTGGTTGAGCGCCATGCTGTGAAGATGTCCGCAACCTCTTCAGCACAGGTTCGATTCCCAGTCAGCCAGGGAGAAACCCACATGGCGTGGCAGACCTTTCCTGTCATGCCTGCTGCTCCCCTCAGCAGCGTATTTTGGTCATCTGCCTGTTCTGCTCCCCACTGTCTCTGGTGAATTCTCTCACGCTCCCACACCTCTGACCTGTACCCCAGTTCTTGTATACATAAAAATAAATCTTTAAAAAAACAAACTTTACTAGATTCCTGCTTTTAAGAAGCTTCACTCAATCTTGTATATGCAGAAAAAGGTACCACACAACATGAACATGATATGGCTTTGGCTTCATTTGCCTGCAAATGTCTACTAAAGCATCTATTTGTTTGGGGGATCTGTTTTGATATTTTCATGATGTGAAATGACTTTCCAATCTATTTTTATAAAAACAGAAATCTATCATGGGTTATACTTAAACCATTTGTTTCACCACCAAAGTCCAGAAACCACTTATGCTGACATTCCCTGTATAGAAGAAAGTCCTAAACTTAGCAGATCCACGAGGCTGCCGAGGCAGCGGAGCAAGACCCCGATGACTGCTTAGCAGGGCTGTTCTAATAAACGATTTACACTGAGGAGTAGGACTTCCTGTAATTGTGACATACTCACTGTGTATGAGAATTTACAACAGAACTGAAATCATTTTTGACAAACAATAGAGCGAGACCAGTGAGTGTGTCCACTGGAAAGCAGCACAGGGTGCCATGTGCCCACCCAGTGCTGCCCGAGGTGCCTACCGGCGCTTACCCCATCTGAAGACCAAGAATGGAGTGCTGCTCTCACTGGGGATCACCACCTGGAGATAATGAGTATTTGTCAACTTGAAAAAAAGCCGCTAGAACAACTGGACCACTCCCCTCTTTGGCAATAAGACCAGAAGAGAATCAGCAAGGGCCCCCCAAAAGGGCCTGCCCTCAAGGAGCTTCAGGACCTGGAGAGACAGGTGTGAGAGCAATGGGGTGCTTACAACCATGCACACATGAGTAACCTTTCCAAGACCAGAGGTAGCCGTGTAGACTCAAGTGTGTTAAAGAAAATTTCCAAAGAGAGGGACCCTAAAGAGGTTGTGCAGGACAGTGAGGTTCGACAGCTGCGTGAACATGCCCAGTAAGAACATGTAAGAAAAGGCCCGAGGGCAGCGCCCAGCAGGCCCCAGCAGGCAGGTCCCTGCTCTGGAGACAGCACCCTCCCCAGAGTACTGACCGGTCACCCCTCCAGGTAACTCCCTCTCTGATTCAGCTGGCAGCAACCTGTTCTCTCTTCTGTGAAGCCTGACTCGGAGAGCAGGACAGGCTGTGAAATGAACTTTGGACAACCAGTGCGTGCTGTTTATCTCTAGGGGGGCTACAACAGGCAACATTTCTCAACCATATTGGCCAACAGCCCTTTTTAAAGTAACTTCTGCTAACAAAGGTTGGGTCACAGAACACAGCTGCAAAGTGCCCATGGTGGAGCCAAGTCCCACCTGAGAGGGTGGCTCTGTGGCCAGTGTGGGTGTGACCCGTGTGTGTGTGTGTGTGTGTGTGTGTGCTGAGATACATCTACTCCTATTTGCCTCCCAGGCCGAGTGACCTCAGCAAGGCGTTTAATTTCCCTAAGCCACAAGTTTTCTCAGCTATAAAATGGCAGATCAATGGAGAACGTAAGCGGCCTGGCAGCAAGAACAGTTAAGACCTCAGTGAAAGCTCCTGACCAGCATCTGATGCTCACCAATCAATTTTCAGATGACACGGGAGCCGACCTGTTGCATTACTCTCTATAAATATAAATACACAAACAAAATGTTTAAATTAAGATTCAGGGACACAGAGGAGCTGCATGGCAGCACAGCGAAACAGACGCAGCCTCACTATGCAGTCACTGGAAAAGGGGGCGTAATTTTCACTTTTAAATGTTTGTTATATGGAGAAAAAGATGTGACAATCTCCGCGAGTGACCGAGTTAAATTAGATAAATCATTCTTCCCCGAACAGAGACAAATAGAAGATGAATAAAATCAAGAAAACAAAAGTATTTACTAGACCTCTCAGTTAACCTCCTGGCAGTGACTTAAATTTCTTAATATTTATCCACTAAGGGGGAATTACAGCTTCAAGTTTAGCAACCACAACTCAAAATTAATTGCAAACTACACTCAGAAGACTAAGGAAAAGGCAGTGAACTAAGTACCTTCCAGAGAACAGCTGTCCTTCCAGTTTTGTTTTCAGATCACTTCTGTTTTTCTCAGGAAGCACCTTAATTAGTTTAAATAGCAAGTCTTAAAACCACCTTATAAAATCTGGGCTATTACCTATGCCTTTTTTTCTTATAGGGCAAGTGAAAAACCATTTTGTGAATGTGGTGTTCACAAAAATTTAGGATCTGTCATACTTAGCACGCTGGCATTTCTTTTTTTGTTCCATAACGTTCTTTTTTTTGAAAACGCCTCAATGCTAGAGTGGCCAGATGTTAAGAGATTAGTTTATAAAATCATGTATGTCCTAAATACAATAAATTAAAACTTTTCTACAGTAAAATAAGAGCGCAACCCCCCAAGCACACATGCATGTACCCTGGCTGTGCGTGCGGCCTCCATGTGCACACACGGACATCTGGGCACAGGAGGAGCCACACAGATCCTGCTAATGGCTTTGAACAAGGCAGATTACGGGTAATGATTTTTAGTTTCCTATTTGCTTTCACTTCTTATTTTCTAGAATGAATGCATAGTTATATTCAGGGGGAAAAGGGTCTTCCAAAAGGAAATAAGGACTATTAAGAGGAAAGTAGCATTTTCCTCTTTCCCCATTTTAGAACATTGGTTCACTTGAAGGTCATGACCTTTAAGACAAAAGTCTCAAGGGTTAAGAGAAACAATAGTACATACTCCTGCCCTCCTCACTTATAATTCCAAATAATGAATGCATAACAAACTTATATGACTTAAGTATTTGCATTCTTTTATGCATTCTTGAAACTATAGATAAATTACTTTGTTCATCCAGGAAGAAGGAAGAGAAAAAAGTGTCTGTAACTGAACGTCTGACTACTCCCTGGAGCTCCAGGACTCGCCTGATGTGGTACAAGGTCATCGCCATGAAGTAGGTTTTATGTCTGCTTTACAGAAGAGGAAAAGGAAGCTCGGAGGAGTTAAGTCACTGGGTCAATCTCACTAAAGCTATTAACAGTGTTTACATGAGGATTTCAACCCATGTAGAGAGTCCATGTATGCTTCATTCTACAGTCATGTCAGCTTTATCTTTAATCCTGCAGCTTATCCTTAGGGAGCCAAATATTACACAGAAAGGCGAGTTAGTTATTAAATAAATCTCAAAATAGTTTCCCTAATGTGCTTAGTATTCATGAGGACTAATACTAATGGTTATCAACCCAATCATTTTTAAAAATAAAAACCACGTGTACGTGTGTGTGTGTGCATGTCTGTGCCATGTATGCGGTTATATACTCTCATCCTCCTACTCTCCAAGCCCCGACACGAATGCTGGGCCTGAACCATGACCCTGCACGACGACAAAGCACCTGCTTCTTTTAGAGGGCACCTTCTCTTCCTCCTACACCTCTAAGTTCACACTCTGGCCCTAAGCCCCAGTTCAAGCAAGAAATACTTTAATCACTATAAATGTACCTTCCCCAAGAACCTTCT